TATATATATATATCAATATATATCGCGTATGTATAATATAACAGAAAATAATTGAAATGATATCTTAATAATAAAAATGTATTTATTCTTACTTTCAATTGTTTGTCGTTTATTAGATTGATGTTCATCATTATCATCGGAATTTTTTCTTTTTAAATTATTTGTTATTGTTGATGGATGATTATTTCCAAGTATACAAGCTATTGTAAAACCTCGCATTGAAAAAGTTCGTTGTATGCGTATATATATTTATGTATATTTATGTATATATATATTTATATTTAAGATTCGTTGTTTTTATTCAATTATTAAATGTAGTTGATGAATTGATAGTGAGTGCGCACCGAGGAAAAGAAAAAAACCTTAGTTGTGACTATATGTGTTCGATGATAATTATATTCACTTTCTCTCTCTCTCTCTCTTTCTCTGTCTCTGTCTCTTTTTCTTCTAACAAGAGAGAAGAAGAAAAAAGAAAAAGCAGTATATGGAGCTATTCCATTGGTGCATGAGAAGAGAGGGACGGCACGTATGTTGTAATCAACAAACCAATATAATCATTTTATATACATGTGCATATTGTACATAGGAAAAGAAATAGAGGAGGGGAAAGTATAGTCTGAAGCTTCCTTCTTTTCTCTCTCCCCCCCCCTCCCTTCCTTCCCTCCGCCTTCAAGTTTCTGTATGTGTTCGTTTCGGTGACTGCTTGACGACATTCTAATTCGTCTAAAATGATGATGATGACTATATTGAATAATATATGAATTAACTGACGACGTTTTACTGCTGTTTAATTTTCTCATCGGACACACAAATAAAAAGAAAAAAAATTAATAGATACATATCTTTGATTGCAAAAGAAAAAGAAAGAAAAAGAAATGACAAAGAAAAACAACTTTTTAAAAGTTCTACTTAATTAATGAATTACCTCGGCAACGAAATATATTTTACATCTGTTATATTAAATTTAGTATTTAAGTTATGAACAATCTAATTATTTTTCATTTCTTATTAATTCTTTTAACGATAGTTAATTGTGGAAATTTTTCTACAACTAAAAAACCAAATACAAATTTACAAAAATCTAAATTCAAATATCGATTAAATCTTATTATTGGAATATTATTATTAATTTTAATTATTCTTATTTTAATTCTATTCTATATATTTTATATTCGTCAACGAATAAAAAATAATAATAATAATAACAATAAAAATAAAAATAAAAAAGTTAAACGACAAAGTGATCAATATGATATACCAATTGTATCATATAATATCAATGAATTAGATACAATACAAACAGTTGGAACACCAAGTGAATTTACAGATCATTATACTGAAACAGAAGTAAAAACAATTATTTAAAATGATTCAATTGAGCTTGTAATTAGAGAATACATATATATATATGTATTAACTTCAATCATTGTATCAATATTGAAAAGATGATTGTTAAGTTAATCAAACGAAATGAAATATGATGATCAAAAGAAAGCTAGCGGGATAGTTTCATAGATATATATGCATGTTACTTCGTTTTTTTTTTTTTTTATTCCGACATTTGATGTTACCATATGACGAAGAAGATTGACTGACGTCATCATTCAAATCATTTAATATTTATCGGGATTTTTTTTTCTTTAATCGACTTTTCTCCCGCTATGTGCCAATTTAATTGATCAATAGAAATAATTAACGAGAAAGTCTTATATATAGAAGATTTGATATTATGATTTGTGAATAAGAAACTTCTTTTTCTTTTTTATTTCTTATATGTATACGTGTGTCGATAATTGAACACTTCATTTCCTGCGAAATTAAACACAATTCTTTATTTTTATTCTCTGTCTCATATCAATTGTCATTGTCGGAGCCCTCGAGCACAATTAAACATATATATATATATATATATGTATGTATGTATTGTTGCTTGCGTATGTTCGCACCATTGTACATATTCATCATCATCAACAAATTGATGAAGAGTAAAGTGGAAAAAGTGATCAGGTGACTAAAGTGTGAATCAAAACACAATTAAATATAAATTGTTTTATTACTAAAAATATCGAAATATACAAATGAATATTGGTAGAAAATAGTTTCGATTTTATAAATTATCGCAGAAAATCGAAAAGAGTGTTATAGATTAATAACGCACTTATAAAAAAAAAAAGAAAATTAGTTTTTTCTATCGAAAAAATCTTGATATTATTGAAATTCATATTCATCAATTTTAATTCATGTATATATACTTTTACATTCTTGAAGAATAAATCTACATCAATACACATTATAGTTAATATAATTAGGGGTGTTCTCAGCATGAGATCACCCCAATCTTGAGAAATTCGTGTTTTTATTCAGCGAAATTACTTCGTTATATTCAGTTTTTTTACTCACCAATTCTCAAAAAAAAAATGTATCAATCTCTTCCACAGATTCAGGTAATTTTAGCAAAAATCTTTCAATCAGCCTCTTGAGTTAGTGCTCCCTCCTTGAATCTTGGCGACCTCGGGACACAACTGAGGATAATTCTACAAAAAAAAATTCATATTATAGTCCTTTGATTTCAAATTCAAGTTGAAATTTTGCTTTTTTTCAGTGTTGATATTTTTTGTTCTGTTCTACTTTGTATGCAATAAAAGACATTTATGATATATTATGATTATGGTCATATGGAGGGTACGACGCACTAGAATTCACCTTATTTTGAAAGGAAACTGTTATTAATAAATGGAAATGTTGGTTTATTTTCTGCATCCATGACATTTGTATTACCTGGATTTTTTAAGGTCACTGCAACGTGTATTGCTTATACTTTTCTTATTTGATCATTTACTTACACATAGTAGTTATCAGAGATCTCAATGGACTGAGCCTAAGAAAGCCAATCCAGTTTATGTTTTTTTTTAAAAATAACTCACTCATGGGCCATCCTTCTAATTGTACTGGATAAATATTTAGCACATAAATGAACAAACGTATTTCGAGTACCAATAGTTGATGTATAAATAAAGCTTTAGTAACATATTTCATAACTTGCAAAACTTTCAATTCTCTCAAATTCACCATTATTTCCTGATATTTTTAGTTCAAAAACTCGAAAACTTTTCGACATAAAAATGTTTTTGCCTTTTCATTTTTTTTTAAACAGCATATGTCGATGGTTGTTGTTTCAAAAGAGATTTGATGTATACTATTTTGTATGTAATAATGAACCAGAACCGATAATTGAAGAAAGAGCATTAACAAAAATTGATGACTGAGAAGGTATACAGTAAATTTTTAAGGTGATAA